ATGAATGCCCAACTTACTGACCTTCCTAAGAGAGGGTCAAAAGTGCTCAGAGCAGAATGCTAGCGTCTTTCCACAAGCATATGAAGATGGTGTAGGGGGAACTGCCAAGAACAAATCCCAAGCATGTTTCTAGGACCACAGCAGGTCACTGGTGGATATAAGGTTAAAGTCCTTGCTGTTGGAGGAAATAGGTTCTCCTGATGAAGCTGCGAAAAGGGAAAACTAAATCCAAAGAAATGAAACAGAAGTTGTATTTTGGTCAAAAGAAGAACAAAGGAAAAACAAAAAACAAGACTTTAACTCATGAGGCTTTGAATTTTTCTCTCCAACATCCTGGAACACTTGGAATTAAGGACGATATACCGGATGATGATTCTGTCACCCTAACTAATATGGAAGGTGTGCAAGAAATGTCCCAGTGCTTAGATCCCTACCTTCCAGTGGTCTTTTAGAGTGTGGTCACTTTGGGACTGGAATACAGCCTCAGCTTTGGGGTACAGAAGAACAGGCTTCAAAGACCAACCCTGTCCATTTGGGTTCCTGCTTTTTTGAAGCAAATGAGCCTCAACTTCCTCATCTGTAAGTGGGTAATATCTGCCTGGCAAGACTGTTGGAAGGACGAACAGTGAAGGTGAATCCACATAAAATAGCTAGCAGCGGGCCTGCCACACAGCTCCACAGATCTGAACTGTTTATTACGATGTGTGCTCTGTCAATTACACATCCTTCCTAAAATCTTCCACTGAGTTATATCATGTGGAAATTAGCATCTATATTTGACAGATATAGACACTGGGGCTTCAACAAGGTTATACTCCAGATGCAAAGCCACCAAGCCAGTTGGTGCAGATTACCACCCGCATCTCCCAGCCTGGGTCACTGAAGGGAGTCCCCTCTCCTCATGCTACGGGTGTCCCTGACTCCTATGGGAAGTCCTCAGGAAAGAGGAGAGCTGTTAAGCTCTGTCTAGCTGAGAGCCTTTCCAAAACCTGTCACTGTTGGAACATTCTATGCTCACGTGCTGTACTTGAACTTGCTTCTAGAGATTCTGGCTTGTGTTTTCTATTGTTTTGACTGAGTGACCTAGAAGGGAACTACATGAAGCTTATGTTACTTCAGCACTTGCCTGGCTAAGTCTAACATTGCAACAATGCTGGTATTGTGGTAAGGAGGGAGTTGCCTTTACTGAGTCCATCTGCAATGCAGGTCCATCCAAAGGATGATTCTGAGGCTCTGGAATATGTTCTGAATGCTCTTCTCGGCCTCCACTTCTCACCAAATGTGGCTCTTACACCTTACGTAAATTTATTCACCATAAACCCACCTCCATATAGCATTTCAGTGGCCATCCTAATTTCACATGGAAGAGAGGGGACGTAGCCCCTGGTTAGAAAGAGTCCATCCATCCTTGAGCCAGTGAAGGGGTATCCTCATGGGTCCCCTCCTACCATCCTACCACTCAAGGGACCATGTTGCCTGGACATCTATAATGGCTCTCTCCGATCTGGAGGATTGGTGTCAAGTTTGAAACTTGGAATAAAGCTCTAGAGGATGCCACACATAGACACCTTCACCCCAAAGTAGCAGAACACGCAGAAATACACTTAGCCTAGTAAAACACTAGCTGTGATATGTAAGGAAAGCTATCATTATCCTAAAGAGTGTGCTTTTTATAAAAACCAATGAAAAAGAAAATCATTTGGGATCCAGTATGAGCTGTCTTTGCCTAAGGCAGTCAAACAATGAGCTGAACAAAATTAATTGGTCTGGGAAAAAAAAAAAAGCACATAATGATGTAACACCCAGTTTCCCCCCAGCCTCCAAGTTTGGAGGAAGAATCATGAGAAACAAAGCCAAACAAAATCCTTGTTATCCTGAAACTCTATGTCCTGTCCCTAAATCAAGGGTCAACATTTTTTTTTCCTTTTTGGTACGGGCCAGATAGAACATAGTTTAAGCTTTGTGGGACATCCAGTCTCTGTCACAACCACTCCACTCTGCTGTCTGAGCGCAAAAGCAGTCACAGACAAAATGTAAACAAATGGATGTGGCTCTAGTCCAACAGAACTGTATTTACGGACACTGAAATTTAAATTTCATATAATTTTCATATGTTACAAAATATTATTCTTTGTTTGATTTTTTTCCAACCATTCTTTGCCTGTGGGCTGTATAAAAACAGGCCAGGAGCTAGATTTGGCCCACAGACTAGTTTGCCAATCCCTGCTCTAAGTCAGCACATATTTTCAGGTGATTCCCAAGCGGGCATCTCTACCAACTCAAGGATCAGCTCAACAGAGCCTCCCTCTTTGCTCCCAACATAGGACCCGAGTCCCAGGGGCCACTCCATCCACACTTCTTCAATGAGTGGCTTGCCTCATTAAAAAAAGGAGGGGGCACCTTGCTGGCTCAGTCAGTAGAGCATGAGACTCTCAATCTCAGAGTGATGAGTTCAAGGCCCACGTTGCAGGTAGAGTACTTAAAAAAAAAAAAAAAAAAAAAATCCAGAAGACTAGATTGTAGAGTCAGACCACTCATCTACTGCTTACCAAATGCCATCCTCATCCTTGCCCCCATCCCAAGTTACTGATCACATATTTCACATTCATAGATATAAGTAAATTCTCTAAGTTCACGGCACTGAAACAGTAAGTGAGGTTTCTACTTCTCCATCTCAAGTTTGCCTTTTGCTAACTCCCTCTTTTCAAACCAATAGGAATTCCACAGAGTAATAAAGTTAACACTCTGATCCAATAGGGATCAGAGAATGTTTCTACCATCTATCGAGTGATTAAAGCTCAGTACTGATAACTTCATGCATTCATTTCTGGAAAGTAACAGCTCCAGGCATAAATAAAGGTAGGAATGATGGAGAAGTACAGTGTGAAGCAAGCTCTTAGGAATTTAAAATTTGTGTAGATCTTCCCATCACAGTGTCAGCATAACACAGCACCGTGAGCTGAATTTCAGTCCTTCCCCTTCCTTTCTGTCCTTTCCAATTTCTAAGACTTAGAAACACTTACTTGATAAGTCACCCATTCAAAGAAGTGATTTCACCCCTTTCCAATAAAGTACACAAAGGGCATCCAGCTTTTTGGGTGAGGATGACAAGCTTGAGAAATTCAAATTGCACATTGTAGCTTTGAAATCATCCCCATGTCATAAAATCCAGAGTTTTATTCTGGGGCATTCCAAGAGGCAGAAGGTTACCTTTAGGAACGGTTCTGTGGCTGTATATAAAGTCATACCTGATCAGGACAAGGGAGCTCTTTCTAGGGTAATGAATTTGAGTTTGCACACCCCAAACTGTGGGCTGCTGCTCAAGTCCTGGCAGTGAGGGGGATGGAGGGAAAACAGTTACCACAGTTTTCAAGACTACCCACCCACACAAAAATCCAACAATATACAAAGAACTGGCCATCTCCGTGGCCAGAGACAAAGATACTCATTTTCAAAGCTGAAGAGACCAAACTCCAAAGCAAAGCCTCACTTTCTAAGTGTAGCCTAATTTGAACGGTTGCATTCTCTTGCAAGTATTTCTGAAGTTTCCACAAGCATCTAGATAATCTTTGGTTTTATGACAGAGACTCCAGAAATCACCGCAACTTGTCATGAGGAAGGCGAGGGAAACCCTACCTCTATGCCCTGTAAAAACAAGCTAGCTTCTAAAAATTATTACATGTTTCAAATGTTAAAATAAGATGACCAATTGTCCTGGCTTGCCCAAGACTGAGGGGGCTCCTGTATGCAGGACTTTGGGTTTTAAAACTGTGATAGTCTGAACAAACTGGAAGGTACTGGTCACCCTAGGAAACCTCTTCTCATCCAAGTCTTTGGATTTTAAATGCAACACATCAGTCAAAACACTTAGCATGAGGAAGGACACAAGCCCCACACCAAAGAAAGAACAAGATTCCTAGCGGTTCTCTTGAGAGCGACTATTGAGAAGCTCAAAAACCACTAGTAACAGAAAGGTTACCGATTATCTGAGTCAGAAAGGAGAGAGGGTCATTCATATGTGCTGTTTTTAGCTAATCCATCATGTCTAGAGCCCAAATAAATAAGATGTGGGGGAAAGTTACAAAGATGCTGATGAACTCACACCACCCTGATCCCTAAACCTCTGAAAACAACAGCGCTCCTTTCAGAGGCATTCATGAGCCCTAGCAAGTTTTGGGGACAAACACTTCCCAGACTAGGGCCATCCCCTGCTATCACGGCTGGGTGCCATACCACTTTGAAGAAGGGAGGTCAATGTAACACTCTGTGATATAAATACAATGAAACCTGGACCCATTCATTCCCAACCAAATGTCACCAGCAATCATCTAGAGAGCTGCTTGCCACCTGTTTGACTTTCAGGAGGAAAGTGACAGCCAACCAAGGTCATTCAACACCCAATCTTTAAAAATCTACACTGTGTTAAACAAAGATTCGGGTCAGTCCCCTGCCCCTTTTTCTTTCTCCAGCTTGAGCTCCTAGGGCTCACCAGTGGTTTTCAGAGCAATGAATCTCTGAGCTGTCTAACAGCCTAAATCACTATGAAGATGGCTTCCTCAGTCCAGCGAGTGACTTGCCTGTTTTAGAAAGACTTACAGCAGTAACTGAAACCAAAAGGAGGTTATATAGGTCCGTGACTATTGTGACTGACCAAAAACTTTTAACATCCCACTGTTAACTATATGAAAAGATGCAAATATTTTGTCACAGCTTAGCCAGGTCTGACCCAGTCACTTGGCAGCTACACAATAAATAGGAATGCTCCAGAATTATCATTCCAGTAGCTATTGATTTTCATATGGGTAGAAGATAATAATAAACTAGAAACTACACCAAGATATCAGAGGCATTTCTCCTGGAAGGCATTGAGTATTCCATCAAAGAAATTGATAATTCCAAAATAAATAAGAAGCACACAGACCTTTAACAGTTGGAGGGAGAATGGCAAAGATGAATAAACAAACAAACAAACAAAAAAACTACAAAACAGCGCTCTCTACCTTCTTTTTGGAGTGGCTTCTTTCCTCCTCCTTTGTGGCTTTGCTATTTTTCCCAGCACGGGACACCTTCTGGTCACCAGATTGCTTAATGGTGATCTTGATCTCAGGTGGGCATATGTAGTTCTCCAGATTCTTTGGGGGTTTCTTAGCCCGCTTGGTGGTCTGAATCTTCAGCTTCAGACTGCCCTCTGTGAAGTTTGCCTCCTTGATAGAAAATTCCTGTTCTTCCAGGCCATCTCCTGCAACCCATTTCTCGCTGTCTGCATTTGAGTTGGAATCCACATCCCGCCCTGAGCCCAGTTCATCCTCTTCCTCTGGCTCCATGCGTTCTCCGCCCACTGGGATCCCCTTCCCAGTTCCTGGAGCAGAGAGCAAAGGTTCTCCTGCACAGCCAGGGGCAGGTGGGGGCTTGGCTGAGGAGACAGGCAGGAATTCCGACTCGTCCCCCCTTTGCCGGGAGCTGCTTAAGATTTCCCTGGACTCCATGACAATCCTACAGTCTTCAGGAGTTCTCAGGAGGTGGGAGGGAAGAGAGGAAAGGGGAAAGATAAGAAGTGAGGACACCCAAAATCCCAAGGACAAAGTGGTCCAGCTGCTGGGTTCAGAGTCCCAGGGATGGAGACACGGCCACGTGTTCAGAAGAGGTCAGATCTGCAACTGAGAAGCAGAGAGATAATTAGTCATGGCAGGAAGGAAAATGACCTCAAAAAGAACTCAATCTAAGTTCCAGAAGCCCCTTCCCTCTAATCTATGACCATCAGGGGAAAAAAAAAAAAATGCATATCCCCAAATTGGATTCTATTGGCAGTGAGGGAGGCGGGGACACACACACACACACACACACACACACACACACACACACACACAGCCCTTCATTGAATTGTTAATTTTTATGGCTGTGGGCCCAAGAATAAAGATAAGAGAAGCCAGTCCTCCAGTGCATAACAGGCTAGAAGTTTTTTATACTGAAGCCACAGAGAGCTGAGTCACCGTCAAAACCAACCATGACGAAAGGGAAGTCTGAAGTGTTGAGGCAGGTCTGTGGGACGGGGCTGGGCTGACTTCTTGCACCACTTCCCTCTTACACGTGAAGAACAGTTTGCAAACTGAACACTGCCCCCCCACCTCCCCCGCCCCTGAGATGCCAGGGCGAAGCCCTCCATCATCTTGGAGGAAGCACACTTAGCTAACCTCCTGACCATTCTTTCTTTATCATTTTTCATGCTAAATTATTTCAATTACACAAAATTATCTTTATTTCTTAAAACAAACGCAGAGCTTAGATGCAGGCTTGAAAGAGGAAAACAAAGAGTTCAGTGGAGAATCAGTTCGAATGCTGTGATTAATGCAAAACAATCGCTAAAAATATTTCTGTCTACACAAAAGATATTTAATCATGATCAATTATTTAGATAAAAATAGCCATTCAAGACAGTTTTAATTCCCTTTCTGGTCCTTAAACGAAGTAGCATTCTGTCTTCGTGGCAACAAAAAAGAGAAAAGAGAGAGAGGGAGGGAGCATTTCACAGGCCTTTGGAAATGTCAGGAATGGTTCTCCCCACCTCTCCACCTCTCCAACCCGGGAGCTTGGATTCTGCCTTCCTCCCAGAGGAAACTAGAAACATCAGTCGGGTCAGACCATCACGGGACCACTTAAATTATCCCTCACCCTTACTCACCACATGTCCCATTAGTCCCAATTTCAGACTCATCATCTTCAAAGCCCCAAAGGAAGCTCAATGCTCATCCTCAAGAGAAAACTCAGAGCCCTGGGGCCACACAAAACTCCAATACTCCGTCTCCTTCCACCCCTAGGCTGTAGGTGAGATCACACTCGAGGCTTCTTAAGTGGCTCAAAACGCTGAGGTTTCCCAGCAGAAGACATTACCACCACACACCTTCGGTTTCTACCTTAGAGCCCAGCAACGTATAACGTATTAACCAACACCTGTGCTGACCAGAAAATGCCCATCAACAATTGCAAAGGCACACTCAGAACAGCTGAAAACAAAGCCTGGAGACTGGGCATGCATTTTCTCCCTCTGGAATCAGGACATTTTCAGCCGACATCCTGTGAGGAAGCTAGCCAGCAAGGCGGCCAGGGTTTCAACCATGAACCTGCTCCCCAGAGGAACCCGCGCGTATTCGGCTCCTGGAAACTGCTCGGCCCTGCAGAAAGACACATTTACAACTGCTTCCTCTTAGGGGAAAACCCAGTGAACGCAGCATTGCTAGAAGAGAAGAGAAGAGGCTGACAGAGTGAGAGTAAGAGCGTCTTCCCTGAATCTGCCACACAAAGACTGAACAGCCACCTGTGCCCCAGGCTATAAAAGGGACCAAGTCCCCACTTAGGGGCAGGGGAGGGCAGTGAGACCCAATGACCACTGAAGATTCTTTTACTTATATAAGATTATTTGTCTCATCTAGACTGGTCTGCCTACCACCCCAAAACTTTATATAATTTTTCAAAAGTTGGATTCAAGTCAACATTCATTTTGGCATCAAATACCATACTAGCTGTTGGAGGAGACATCCGGATGCCTTAGAATGTGTTCCTATTTGTCAAGCAGCAATTGTCCAGCAGATCTTTCTCAGCTTGTACCCCAAATCCGTCCGAACTGCAAACCATGCTTTATGGTAGTACCTGGTGGTTTACTTCCCCTGGCAGGAATCTTCAACATTACCTTTTAATTCCCAGGTATGTACGATGAAACTATCCTTGTGTCAGGGAAAAAGTGAGGCAAGTTCTCCACTAAAAGTTCCTAAATGAAATCCATTTGGAACTTTGAATGATTACTGCATGTGATGAAAAAGAGATGATGAAATCTAACTGCAGGGGAATGGAGAGCAGTGTGCAATGGGCATATTAAGAAGACAGTATCTTCCATTCAAAAAAAGATTCCCTTCAGAATTCCTTAGGTTTGAAGGTAGAAATCGTTAACTAACTGAAGTAGAAGACCACACCCCAAAACTTAAAGCTCAAGTCATAAGAGGTTTGCCAAACATGAAAATCCAACAATCTGTTTTTCAGTTCTCCTCCAGTCAAGATCCTAAGATAACAAGGGAAATACAGTCTGTTTCCTCAGGGAGCTTCTATTCTTGAAGAGGGATCTGGAAAATGACTGAAACAGAGCAGATATTTACATGAGCGATAGTAAAGGAGAGAAACAAAGGAAAGAGAAAAATGTTTCCTCCTTGGGCAAAGTAGAGATAAATCGACAGGAAAGCACAGGGAAAGACTTCAAGGAGAGCACAGAATCTGGCTTTGACCTTCAAGGGCTTCAGCAACAGGTAGAGTGGGAAGAAGGAAGACACAAGGGACAGCATGAGGCAAGGCCTAGGGCAGGAGCTTGCAGGGTGACACTCAGGAAAGAGCATCTTGCTGATTTTCAGCCAAGAGGTGCTGTACGAAATAGGGACCGGTGGAAGGTAAAGCTGGAGATAAAGGGTACAGCCAGATCAGGGACACCCTTGCCTGCGATGTTAATGAGCTGGATTTTATCTTACAGGTAATGGGAAGCCATTTAAGGGATGTCAGTAGGAAAGGGGCACTATCAAAGCTGCGCTTTAGGAAGATAATTCCAGCATGTAGTGTAAGGGATGAATTAATGGAACCTGATAGTAGAGGCAGGGGGACCAGGAGGAGGCACATCAGAAATTCAATTCTTGCTGCACAGGGACCTGAACCAGGGCAGTCTGACTATGACATGGTAAATACCAGAGATCAAACAGTAATGCACTTTCAATCAATCATCCCAGGGTTCAGGAGCACATCACTTCCAGTCTCTGCACACTGGTCTCACCTTAAGAATCCAGTCTTAGGGCTCATTGGTCACCAACTTGCATTCCCTGTTCAAATCAAACCAGTCCCCACAGTGGCATTACACACACACAGAAGTCTTCCCCCTTGGTATTTTTACAGGATCTTTTCCTATATCCCCTTCTACCTACCCACGCAATGACTGGCATACAGTTGGTCCTCTCCCAATGTCTGTCACAAGAAGGAATGAACAAACAAACAGATCCGAAGCCTTCCCATATTTCGAGGTCAATGCCCAAGTCTTCACTTCTCCATGGCAACATTTTATAAACTCTGGACCTCTGCCTCCACACCCTGGCCTGTCTTACACTGCACCCGGCTGTATAGCTTGCCACTAAATCCTAGTCTTGCATTGTCTTCTAGCTGTTTTGAGAACACAACTTGTATTTCCCTTCCTCGATTGCAATTCAGTCTTAGGCTGAGACCAAATGTGGTTTATAACTCTTACATTTGCTTCAGCACCCAGTGCAGGACGGGGCCCCTGAAGGACTTCAAGTTCTCTCTGAAAGAAAATGAATTAGCTCCCTGACAGCTAGTCCAAGTCTTGTGGTCCTAAGGACTCCCACTGTAGCTCTGCCCGCTCAAGCACCCTCTGCAAAATTCACGCGGTCCACGCTGAGGATTACAATCTAGCCCCCCACGTCCACACGCACCCCTCACCTTAAAAAAATAAAAAGAAACTTTCCAAAGTGAAGAGCAAAGAAACCCAACCTGTCTGTTTACTTCACCAGCACACAGAGCTGTTGTTCTTCCGTTGCCTTCTTCCCAGCACACACCTGACACCCCAAATTCACAGTTCGCTTTTTTCGGTGAGTCTGGGAGACAACTGAGAGTTCTCCTGCAGTGCACCCCTGCCAACATGTGAGCGTGAGCACAAGCACCCACTTGCACACTCACAGAGGAGGGAAGCCAATGCAAGGTGAAAACCTTTTGCCTTGTCACATTCCAGCAGTCAGCGACTCCTCCGAAGGGGGTGGAGGGGGCGGGTGCACAATGGACACTCTGTACTTGGCTCCGGCTCCCAGTCCAACTAAAGTTAACCCTTCCGTGGCTGCCTGCAGGACCTGGTAGCAGGGGATAGGAGGAATCAGACTTGCTAAGGAAATAACTGCCCAGCAGGTCCCATGGAAACAGAAGGGCGAGAACCAGGGTGGTGAGTTAGAAAAGAACATGGTGGGGAGGAGTCCGGGTACTTGCCCTCTGCTCCTGCCTGGCTCTGCCACCCACAGTGACTGTTACACAGGCCACTTGGAGTCCCTTACTCCATACTTATCTCAGCAATGAATGGAGCGAGGGCTCTTCCAGACTCAAGCCTCTAACTTTACCCTACACAGCCACGGACCTATGGGGGCACTCCAAATTAGACGGTGTGAACCTTCAGAATTATTTCTCTGAGGGATCAGGGGAATCCTGCTTGGCTAGACGTGTCTCAGAACCTGAATGAGTCCCAGGGAATACATTCTTTCTTCATGCTGGCAATCCCCGTGTCTAGCACAGTGCCCAGCACATACTGGACACTCAAGAAATGCTGGTTGACCATCATCCACCTCTCCCATCTGCTCTGCTCCCAGGGCACTACCCACACGCAGGCCATCCGTCAGCACGACTGCTGCCTTCCAAAGAGACAATATGGTGGAACCGGCAGAGCGCGTGGCATATTTAACAGAACTCAAAACATGTGGATTCTGGACCTAATCCTGTCAAGTAGGAGCCTTCATAAGCACTCTCTTGGCCGCTATGTCTCATCAACAAGATGGAACAAATGTCTTCCAGATCTACCTTATTAGGTTATAGCTTTTATCTTTTTCTTTTTAATAGAACCACATGCTCCTTATAAAAATGAAAATA